AATTTTTTGTATTTTTAGTAGAGACGGGGTTTCACCGTGTTGACCAGGATGGTCTCGATCTCTTGACCTCGTGATCCACCCGCCTCGGCCTCCCAAAGTGCTGGGATTATAGGCTTGAGCCACCGCGCCCGGCTTATAAATGAAGTCTTTTGCAATTAAAAAGAGATTTGCCCACACACTAGAAAATAGGTATAGGTTTTGTTTCTAAATTTTTATATTATTTTCACTTTTTAAAACTAATATTTGGTTTATTGTTTGTATATTTTAATCATTACATAAGTACAATATATACTGTTAAGTTGTAAGCATTATGCAATTTTATTTTATTTTTTACTTAATTTTTTAAATGTTATTTTTGTTCTTCTTTTCTGACGGAATTGAAAAGCATGGAATTCTTTTTTTGCTTTTTCATTTTTTTTTTTTTGAGACAGAGTCTCGCTCTGTCACCCAGGCTGGAGTGCAGTGGTGTGATCTCGGCTCACTGCAACTTCCACCTCCCAGGTTCAAGTGATTCTCCTGCCTCAGCCTCCTGAGTAGGTGGGACTACAGACAAGCGAGTACCACCACGCCCAGCCAATTTTTTGTATTTTTAATAGAGACGGGGTTTCACCATGTTGGCCAGGATGGTCTAGATCTCCTGACCTCGTGATCCACTCGTCTCGGCCTCCCAAAGTGCTGGGATTACAGGCGTGAGCCACTGCACCTGGACACAATTCTTTTTTTAACTTTTATTTTAGGTTCAGGAGTACATTTGCAGGTTTTTCATATAGGTAAACTCATGTCATAGGATTTTGTTGAACAGCTTATTTAATCACCCAACTACTAATCTAGTATCCAGTGGTTATTTTTTCTGATCCTCTCTTTCTTCTAACCTCCAACCTCAGGTAGGCCCCAATGTCTGTTGTTCCCCTCTTTTGGTCCATGAATTCTCATCACTTAAATCCCACTTAAAGTGAAAACATACAGTATTTCATTTTATTTCCCACGTTAGTTTGCTAAGGATAATGGCCTTTAGCTTCATTCATGTTCCCACAAAAGACACGATTGTGTTCTTTTTTATGGCTCTATACTATTCTGTGGTGTATATGTACCACATTTTCTTTAATCTGTCATTGATGGGCATTTAGGTTGATTACATGTCTTTGCTATTGTGAATAGCACTGCAGCGAACATTCACAAGCATGTGTCTTTATGGCAGAATGATTTCTATTCCTTGGGATATATACCCCGTAATGGGATTGGAAAAGCATACAATTTTAGAACTACAAGAAGAATATATGCTTCTTTCATTATCATTATTACGATATAGTTTAGTTTAAGCCTTCAGAAATGCCCTAAAAGTGATACACTTAAGATTTAATTAAATGAAACTAGTTTTCCGCACCGTTTTTTCTATTATGCACTTTTTAAAGTTTTTAAAATTGAGAAACTTTTTTTTTTTTTCCCTAAGACAAAGTCTTGCTGTGTCACCCAGGCTGAAGTGCAGTGGCACCTTCTTGGTTCACTGCAGCCTCTGACTCCTGGGTTCAAGCAATTCTACTGCCTCAGCCTCCCGAGTAGCCGAGATTATAGGCGCCTGCCACCACGCCTGGCTGTTTTTCGTATTTTTAGTGGAGAGGGATTTTCCCATGTTGGCCAGGCTTGTCTCCAACTCCTGACCTTGTGATTCACCCACCTTGGCCTCCCAAAGTGCTGGGATCACAGGCGTGAGCCGCCATGCCCAACAAAGAAACTGTTTTTATTTACAATATATATTATTTTTCAATCCTCAGGAAATTATATCAGTCTCATTTTAGATATAAAGGAGCTGAATTCCAAAGAGGTAATAAGATGTTCTAATTTTCATTTGTGATAGGGAACAAATCTGGGATTTATCTTTTTTTTTTTTTTTTTTGAGACAGAGTTTCACCCTGTCTCCCAAGCTATAGTGCTGTGGCGCGATCTTGGCTCACTTGAAGCCCCCAGGGTTCAAGCCATTCTCCTGCCTCAGCCTACCATGTAGCTGGGATTACAGGTGTCCACCACTGTGCCTGACTATTTTTGTATTTTTAGTAGAGATGGGGTTGCATCATGTTGGACAAGCTGGTCGAACTCTTGACCTCAGGTGATCCACCTACCTTGGCCTCCCAAAGTGCTGAGATTACAGGCGTGAGCCACTGTGCCTGTCCCAAATTCAGGATTTAAAAACCATGTTCTGGCCGGGTGCAGTGCCTCACACCTGGCACTGTGTGATAACTTGAGGTCAGAAGTTTGAGATCAAGCTGGTCAATCTGGTGAAACCTATTTCTACCAAAAAAAAAAAAAAAAAATTAGCCAGGCATGGTGGCGCATGCCTGTAATCCCAGCTACTCAGGAGGCTAAAGCAGCAGAATCACTTGAACTTGGCAAACACAGATTGCATTGAACCAAGATTGCACCACTGCATGCCAGCCTGGGTGATAGGGTAAGGCTGCATCTCAAAAAAAACCAAAAAACTTGGTTCTTTATTTCCTCATCTCAGACATCTCCAAATCAAACAAGACTGGATATTTTATATCTGTATGGTTTATTCCCATTTATTTGGATTTGCAGTCATGACCAAATATTTTCCCTAGAAATTTGGTTATAATGAAGTATAGTTCACCCTGGTCCCCTAGTCAGATACCATTTTTTTTTGTTTTATTTCTTTTTAATTAATTTATTTATTTTAATTGTTTTATTTTTGTGAGACATCTTGAAAAAATAAAAGTTAGCTTTTTATTGTTAACATTAAACTACTTTAAATAAGTAATTAAAATAGATAAGTGTTATAACTGGTTCTTTACCCATCTATACTTCTAAAGCTTTGTGAAACTGAGATGTTCTGTCTGAGGTATTCTACTGCTTTATCAATTCACTCTCTTGTGATTATGATCTTGCAGTCGTACCTGTACCTGTCAAGGAATTGATCCAGAGACTTGTGGAGCTTCATTCTCTTTTGGCTGTTCATGGAGTATGTACTTTAATGGCTGTAAGTTTGGTAGAAGCCCAAGCCCCAGAAGATTCAGAATTGATCCAAGCTCTCCCTTACATGTAAGTGTCCTTTTTTATTCAAAACTTATTTTTGAGTTACACATTGAATATGTAAGAGCATTCCTTTAACCTTTTTGAAACACTATAAAAACTAAATATTGAAAAGTAGTAATCAAATAGTAAAATTATATTTCTATTATATAAGTAAATAAATTAATTAAGACTCTTAATAAATTAGGTAAAGACTTTAGCTATCACCCCAAATTCCAATTGTTCCTGGCTTCCTCCTCTTGCTCTGCTACCCCACCCCAGAAAAGTCATCATTAAAAGAACCTAGAATTTTATACCCAGCCAAAATAGGAAAAAGCCATTTACCAGCATTTCAAAGACTCAGAAAGTTTACTACCCACAGACCTACTATGAAAGAATTACTAAAGGACGTAATCCAGAAAGAAGACATGTGAAACCGGAACGAATCTGTCCGGGACACGAGGCCATGGTGAGCAAAGAAATTAGTCAAACATAGTGTTAAGTTAAATAAGTTCAATACTTATATATTTTAAATTAAAATAAGAACCTATAACTCCACACCTTTATCAGCTCTTGGGTGGGTAGGCAATGGGAGGGTGTGGGGCACCAATAGGAACTAATTATTCTAATGTGTTATGCTTTGTTTGTGTAGTGAGGATTTATATTGATCAACTACAAGATTGGTGTCTTTTAATCTTAAAGCAGTGACCAAGAGTAAAAAACATTTCATATTAAAAGCCACTGTACACATACATAGACAAAAGAAATTAATTAAAACAAACCTATCTGAAAACAATACTTACCTCTCTTACATGTAACAGCACTAACATAAAAATATTTAAAAAGTTAATATAGTTATTGTAAGGATTTCTACGATTCATTTTTTATCATATTTCTTTTTTTTCTTTCTTTTTTTTTGAGATGAAGTTTTGCTCTTGTTGCCTGGGCTGGAGTGCACTGGTGTGACCTCGGCTCACTGCAACCTCTAACTCCCAGGTTCAAGCAGTTCTCCTGCCTCAGCCTCCCAAGTAGCTGAAATTACAGGCATGTGCCACCATGCCCAGCTAATTTTGTAGTTTTAGTAGAGACGAGGTTTCACTATGTTGTCCAGGCTGGTCTCAAACTCCTGATCTCAGTTGATACACCTGCCTCGGCCTCCCAAATTGCTGGGATTACAGACATCAGCCACCTCGACTGGCCTTTATTTATTTATTTTTTTAGTGCTAGTTTTGACATACTAAGCTGATTTCATTTCCCACTGAGTCATGACCCACTGATTGGAAAACACTGCTTGAGATGTTGTCAGAAAAACATATATTCGAGAAAGTATATATTAAATTTTTTTAATGAATAGAAATAGAATTTATACCCAGCCAAGATAGGAAAAAGCCTTTTTTTTTTTTTTTTTTTGAGACGGAGTTTTGCTCTTGTTACCCAGGCTGGAGTGCAACAGCGCGATCTCGGCTCACCGCAACCTCCGCCTCCTGGGTTCAGGCAATTCTCCTGCCTCAGCCTCCCGAGTAGCTGGGACTACAGGCACGTGCCACCATGCCCAGCTAATTTTTGTATTTTTAGTAGAGATGGGGTTTCACCATGTTGACCAGGATCGTCTCGAGCTCTTGACCTCGTGATCCACCCGCCTCGGCCTCCCAAAGTGCTGGGATTACAGGCGTGAGCCACCGCACCCGGCCCCGGAAAAAGCCATTTTTAAGGGAAATAATTCTTCTATAGGTTGGCAAAGGAAGTTTTAAAAATCATTAGCATGCAGGATAAGTAGAAAACACAAAATAGCCAGGCACAGAACCTCACACCTGTAATCCCAGCTACACAGGAAACTGAGGCAGGATTGCTTGAGCCTAGGAATTTGAGATTACAATGTGGTGGCACGCACCTGTAGTCCCAACTACTCGGGAAGCTGAGGTGGGAGGTTGGCTTGAGCCAACCAGCTCAATTTTACTTGTAAATATTATGTGATCAAAGCGTCTGTCACTTTTTGGCTCTCTGAGCAGCACCTTGGTGGTTGGCAAGAACAAACACCTTATGAAAGGTGGCACGGAAGAAAGTGCTTGATCCATTTTCTAAGAAAGATTCGTATAATGTGAAAGCACCTGCTATGTTCAATATAAGAAATACTGGAAAGACACTAGTCACCAGGACCCAAGGAACTAAAATTGCATCTGATGGCCTCAAGGGTCTTGTGTTTACTGTGAGTCTTGCTGATCTGCCAAATAATGAAGTTGCATTTAGAAAATTCAAGCTGCTAGGCCGGGCGCGGTGGCTCAAGCCTGTAATCCCAGCACTTTGGGAGGCTGAGGCGGGTGGATCACGAGGTCAAGAGATCGAGACCATCCTGGTCAACATGGTGAAACCCCGTCTCTACTAAAAATACAAAAAATTAGCTGGGCATGGTGGCGTGTGCCTGTAATCCCAGCTACTCAGGAGGCTGAGGCAGGAGAATTGCCTGAACCCAGGAGACGGAGGTTGCGGTGAGCCGAGATCACGCCATTGCACTCCAGCCTGGGTAACAACAGTGAAACTCCATCTCAAAAAAAAAAAAAAAAAAAAAAAAAAAGAAAGAAAATTCAAGCTGCTTACTGAAGAAGTTCAGGGCAATAATTGCCTGATTCGCTTCCATGGCATGGATCTTACCTGTGGCAAAATGTGTTCCATGGTCAAAATATGTCAGACAATGATTGATGCTCATGTCAAGACTACCAGTGCTTACTAGCTTCATCTGTTCTGTGTTTGTTTTACTAAATAAAACAACAACAACAACAACAACAATTGGGTATGGAAGAACCCCTATGCTTAGCACCAACAGTTAGGCCAAATCCAGAAGATGATGATGGAAATTATGACCTGAGAGGTGCAAACAAATGACTTGAAAGAAGTGATCAGGCTGAGTGTGGTGGCTTATGCCTTTAATCCCGGCACTTTGGGAGGCCGAGATGGGCGGATCACGAGGTCAAGAGATCGAGACCATCCTGGCCAACATGGTGAAACCCCGTCTCTAAAAAAAGATAAAAGAAAAAGAAAGAAGTGATCAATAAATTCATTCCAGACAGGATTGAAAAAGATACAGAAAAAAATCTTGCCAGCCTATCCTCTCCCTGATGTTTTCATTAGAAAAGTTAGAATGCTGAAGAAGCCTAAGTTTGAATTGGGAAAACTTATCAGCTTCTTAGTGAAGGTAGTTCTGGAAAAGCCATTGGGGACGAAATAGGTGATAAAGTAGAATGAGCTGATGGATATGAACCATCAGTTCAAGAATATATTGGTTTATAAATATAAGGGATCTTCAAAACGTTCATGGAAAATGCATATTATGAATAAACTATGCATGAATTTCATACTATTTTTGCACCCAAAAAAAACCTCATACTAACTTGTAACGTCTGAATGGAGACCAGTTTGAGGCACTAAGAAGGATAAGACATCAGTTTGTAAAGTGCCTCTATCAGAGCAACATGAATTCTGCTAAAATTGAAGCAAGAACCAGCATCAAATTTGTGGTGAAGGTCTGGTGGAAGAATGATGAAGTCGTTGATGCCTTATAAAAAGCTTATGGGCAATGCCCCAAAGAAATCTGCAGTTTACAAATGGATAACTCATTTTAGGAAGGGATAGGACAATTTTGAAGATGAAGACCAGAGTGGCAAACTTTCCACTGAGTCTCGCTCTCTCATCCAGGCTTGAATGCAGTGGTGCATTCTTGGCTCACTCACTACACCTGACCTCAAGTGATCTGCCTGCCTCAGCCTCTCAAAGTGCTGGGATTACAGGTGTGAGCCACCCTGACCAGCCAGCATTTTAGAAGTTAAGATAAAATTGGCCCTTTCTGGCTGTTTAAGGAAAGATGTTTGGCCAAAGATCAATGACAATCCCTCCTCCTTGCCAGGTGCCAAATTAATTCCTAGGTTATTTTATAAAGGTGTTTTGTTTTGTTTTGTTTTTTGAGATGGAGTTTCGCTCTTGTTGCCTAGGCTGGAGTGCAATGGCGCGATCTCGGCTCACCGCAACCTCCGCCTCCTGGGTTCAGGCAATTCTCCTGCCTCAGCCTCCTGAGTAGCTGGGATTACAGGCACGCACCACCATGCCCAGCTAATGTTTTGTATTTTTAGTAGAGACGGGGTTTCACCATGTTGACCAGGATGGTCTCGATCTCTTGACCTCGTGATCCACCCGCCTCGGCCTCCCAAAGTGCTGGGATTACAGGCTTGAGCCACCGCGCCCGGCCAAACTCTCTACCTCATGTGATCCCCCTGCCTTGGCCTCCCAAAATGCTGGCATTACAGGCATAAGCCACGGTGCCTAGCCCAGCCTACACAATTCTTACTGAAACATTATAGCCATGCAAACTTCCTGCCTGATGGGTGCCAAACTGTTGTGCCCAGCCCGGTTGCAGAAAAGAATAGAAATTTTAAACACTTAGCATCAAGATCCTGAGGCATTCTTAGAATTATTCTAACAGGAGATGGAACATGGCTTTAGCAGCACAATCCTGAAGACAAAGCACAGTGACAGCAATGGCCACCAAGACGTGTAGGAGGTCTAGTCAGAGCCCAAGTGGACCAGTAAAGAGCAAAGGTCATGGCAGCAGTTTTTTGGGATGCTCAAGGCATTTTCCTTGCTCACTTTCTGGAGGGCCAAACAAAAGTAACATTTGCTTATTACAAAAGTATTTTGCGAAAGTTGGAGAAAGCTTTAGCAGAAAGTTGCCCAGGAAGCCTTCACCAGAGAGTCCTTCTCCACCACAAGAATGCTCCTGCTCATTCCTCTCATCACGCAGGGGCAATTTTACAAAGAGTATCAATGGAAAATCATTAGGCATTCACCTTATAGTCCTAATTGAACTCCTGATTTCTTTTTGTTTCCTAATCTTAAAAAATCTGTAAAGGGCACCCATTTTCCTTCACTTAATAATGCAAACAATCAACAACAGCAACGTGGTTAAATTCCCAAAGTGCTCCATGCTTTAGAGATGGATTAAATGTCTGTTATTGTCACTTACAGAAGTGTGTTGACCTGAATGGAACTTAAGTTCAGAAATCATTATTTTATTTTTTGAAACAGAGACTTCCTATGTTGCCCTGGTTGAACTCTTAGGCTCAAGAGATTCTCCTTTCTCAGCCTCTGAAGCTGGGTTTACAAGTGTGTGCCATCCTGCCTGGTGATTTTTTTTTTTTTTTTTTTTTTTTTTTTTTTTTTTTTTTTTCTTTTTTTTTTTTTTTGAGAC